TACGTGATAAATAATCAAAATAATAATATTTTCTAAAATCGTATATTCGTGAATTATAATGGAATCATTTATTTTGACATTTGTTTTTGCAAAAAAAAAACAGATTAATGATAAAGTAATAGGTTAATGAAAGCAATGAGAATTCTATTTTTTTCTGTCGAATCCCAGATCTTAAACAGACGCGAGTGCTACATTCTCAGACGTATCCCGTAAATTTTCGCATCAACTTGCCCGGTGTACGTCCACCGGCCAACACAGGCGGCATACACAATGTTGCTTTTATACGGGTGACGCGGCCCACATCACGCGAAGGCCGTCGACCTGCAAAAAGGGCGAAACAACTTGGCCGGGTCTGATAGCCATGGCAATCAATCTGTTAATATCGACTCAGGGCACGCCGATTAAGGTACCCGAGCAACCACGAAACGCGAATAACCCGCTTGCAAATAATCAACGATGAGAAGGGAAAAAGGAGAGAGAGAGGAACCGATACGAGATTACATTGGCAAATTATTACAAGAGTATAGGGTGTTTAAAATACTGGAACATTTTTCTTCCCATACATAAGAGACTCGAAGTAAAAGATATCAGATTCGCTTATTAATTATTACAAGGCTATAAGCCACATCTCGTATAATTAATATTTTCATATTTTAACTTTTAATATTATAAAATTTAAATTTTTTCCTCGTTTTGTAAAGAAAAAAAATATAAAAAATTTGAGCTTCAAAATATCGTGATGCTGCAAAAAAGTTACTTCTTTCAATCCGTCCAGAATCGATTTTTCGCGTCGAAGAAATAAAACGAGCTCGTATTACAATCTCGATGCTGTTATTCAAACATATTCGAAATATCCTGTATAAACGCCGCGTCGTGCAAAAACCTTGTCCCGCGAGGATCCCATCATTTTTCATCGCCGGAAGGATCTCTTCGCCGAGCGTGTGAAAAATCGCACGCGTGGGCGACAATATTGTCGGAGCACATTGTCGAAGCGGGGTCGGTTGCACGAAAAAAAAAATAATGAAAAAAAAACAAACAGGATCGGCGATTTTAACGGTCCGTGGAGCTTTTAATGGTCTGGCCGGCCTTACCTTAGACACGAAGATCGACGACGACACGACGACGAAGAATGGCGCGAAGGGATTCCTCTGCAACATTGTTCGCACTCTTGACCCGGAAAAAATTCCCCAACATAATTCGCTCGTCGAAAAATGAGCTTTTACCGGCTAATCGTACCGCAATAATGTACACTTTCCATTCCAATCGTTGCCGCGAGTATTTTACTCGCTTTCACATTTCCGCCGGAATTATCGATGTCATTTATATGTGCATTCCTAAACCGTACATAACACAAAAGTCTCGAACGTGCGGTTTCTCGACGTTGAGAGATTATATTATTGTATCTTTTCCGTGCACACAGGGAATTTATTATGTTATAATAACGTATATTTTCGGTGAAATTTTCCTCTTTTTTCCGAGTTGTAAATTTATCCTTTATACAGTATGCGCTAAGAAAATCTGCCCTTAAAAAGCATCATCTTATAAGATTGGACGATAAACGCGGATTAAGCTTGATCATTATCTACCCACGCTCATAGTCGCATTTCGAATCAAAATACGTGAGGAGGGTAAAAAGGTTCCGTCGTCCGATGATCTCGAAGGAATCTTTAATTCGCGTTCTTCTCCGTAATGGCGGGCTTTTGCGCAAGGAAACCAGATCCCAAGGCGTGAGCACGTCGGAAAAAGCCTGTAAGAGATTGCGAGAAGAGAAAGAGGAGGGTAAAAGACAGAGTAAAGCAGGAGAGAAACGAAATAGCGGTGCTGTCCTCCACGGATTTTTCTCCCATCTCTCCTCCCTCTCTCTCGCTCTTTCTCTCATTCTTGGTCATTTTTTGGCAACTTTGTTTCGTCGGCACTTTTAGCCGGATATCATGAGACGTCACTTTCCGACAGAAACGGTACGCGCTGAACAGATTTAACATTTTGATGGATAACCATAACATGAAAAAGTCTGAAGAGAGACCAAAAATTTTTTTTCTTCAATTTGTATCAAAGTACGTGATATTACACGTTTATATACGTATATGAAAATAAATAATTTAATACATATTTTTTGCTTTATTTAACGAAATTTGAAGATTTATGGTTATACATTTAGCAAACCGGCGAGATATACAATTAAGAATAATTGGAATAAGCGGTATTCCTTTTTGAAAATCGCTATTATACATTAACGCCCGTCATTTGTCCGCGAATAACTTAGAAATATTGATGCGCCAAAGGCGGAAGAGAGGAGAGATCGGCAAAGAAGGTGAGACACCGGTGCTGCAGTCCCTTTTCGGCGGGGAACTTTGTTGCAAGAACATTTTTCTCGTTAATCACGCAATTTTTCAGTCTGACAGGAAACACCCTCTTTCGAAGCTTCATCGATTAATCTCGGAGCGCGCAGGCTTGCAGCTGCCTGAATCCCCGGTGTTACTTTAGAAACGAAGACGTTTCCCGACAATTCCGCGCATACAAATCCGAAATCCAAATCGTTCACTTCTATGATTAATTTCGACGTTTATTTAGTACCGCTGAATTCTTTAACAGCCGCGTTGCGGTACCATTCAATATTTTATTCATTATTAATAGCACGTAGAATACATCACCGGAAGAAGGGTCGTTACTTTGAAAGATAAGTATCGATCGTTACATCGATCGATAACTATTGACCTTTCCTCTCTCTTTCTCTTTCTCTTTCGCAGGACACAGATATTGTAGCTTAAGTAGAGATATTACAGAGGCAGTACAGTTAGGAAGTATTACGGTTTGCTTACAGAGAAGCTTAATACGGATATAGTTTATGGCGATAGGTCATGTAAAAAGAATCAACTGACATAATTTTCTAAACATCAGATCCGAAGAACGGATATTATAATATTAAAGACACGAGGGAAAATTGTAATTACATGAAAACATCGATGTCATGGTTCGTATTTCGCCTATATCGTGATTCGTATTTCAGATAGTTTACTGCGCGATTATATTTCGTTTTTTCCTGGGCTAACAAGACGTCGATTCTTATTCAGAAAGACTCATGCATGAGAAACACGCCTATTCAGATATACGGGACTTTGCAATAATTCGCTGGAATTGGTCGTATAGATTTCACATTTCTCTTTTAAGTTGTAGTATATAAAATTTAACTCAACTTATACTAACTAGATATATACATACCTATATGTATATATATTTCTCTAAAATAAATAATTAATAAATAATTTCTTAATTATATGATAATTACAATTAATTGTAGCAAAGAGTAACTGTAGCTTATAATATTGCGAAAGCTGAGCTAATTATTTATCGACCCTTATTTACCCCCTTTGTCTCTCGCAAATTATTTTTCCAATGTGGATGCATTGCGGGGCCTCCGGGGCCAGGCCCCTGTCCTTCGTGAGAGATTTATTTCACCGATATTGAAACTAAATTACGCTATAAATTAACCTTAAATTCGTGTTTTTAATGCACCTCCTGGTAATCATATACGGAGTTTCATTCACTTATACTTGGATCCGCTATCGATTTCAACATTTCTAAATTTTCTCCGCAACTTCTCTGCTCTGTACTCTATAATTAAATAGCGGCAAACAATCAAACATTATTTCAAATCCTTAATATAATAGTTATATTATAATATATTAATAAAAATATAAATACGATAAATAGGAAAGAAATATATTAATATAATATATAATATAAAATTTATATTATTTAATATATTTTATGCAATTATATTTTTATCATATTCATATGCATACACATAATATAACATATTATTGTTAGTGTAATATAATATTAATATATAAAAAAAACATAATTTATTTTGCAGTAAAAAGAAAAGAGGAAAAAAGAGAGTATTTTTATATGAGAAAGTATTTAGTATATCAAGGTTTGTAATCAAGTTGCATCAAATTCGACAATAAATTGCGAAATTTATTTGTTGCAATCAATTTATGGCATATTCCAGGAAAATATTTCGCTGAAGGGAGTTATTTTAATATCATATTTCCATCAAGCGGCGCGATCGAGTCATAAATCAGACCCGATGGGAGCTAATAATTGCAGAATTTACGGAACCGCAAACACTCCGAGCGAAACTGCAAACGCAATCAGTCCGCGCACAGGAAATTTGTCATTCTCGTGTACCAGTTTGACCGCTTCAATTAAGGATAATCGAAATAAACGCGCGAAGCGAGTTTATACGAGTTGTATATCGCATGTTTTGTCACGTAAAAAAAGAAAACATTCCGTTTAATTGCCGATGGCACGCAATCAACGCGCGATTACATTTACATCTAAATTTCAATATATCGCGCTCTCTCGATAATATTTTTTGCGAGTCAAAATTATTATTGTATTTACCAAATCGAGACCCTATTATTGTCTCTTGTTCTTTTATTAACGTCATTTTATAATTAACAAATTAATGATTATTACACATGTTTACCGTACAATGTGCTCATATATCGGATGAATTAAATCAGAGTGATGAATTTCCGATGCAGCATGTAGTTCCTATGCAATCCGAGACCGCATAAAAATGCATAAGAAATTTGCATTGATTCGTTTCAATTTTAATAGTTCCTTTAATGAATCATATCAAGTCAAGATGCATTCGAAATTCTTCGTGCTATCATAAAATTACCTTTAGTCATCGATATAATTTTATCTGTCAAAGATCGATCCTGGATGCGTCGATTTATGATTCGATGCATTAGAATGATGAAGTGCTAAAATCTCAATATAATTTATAATTGACAGATACAATGTGTACATAAATATGTATGCGCATGTTAGGATAAAAAAAATAATTTCGCAATAAAAAATAATTTTGTCACATTAATATGGAATATAATTAAAAATTGTTTTTGTTCCTTCTTTCAAAAATCATTCTCCTCTATATTTAATAGAATATCAAGGATAGGCAGTTCAAAGGGAGTTTTCAATCAGGGAAACTCGATAATAAGATGCTTTATTAATAAAACAGAAGAATCAACAGAATGCGCGTGTGTGTGTGACCGTCAGGTACAATTTATGTCGTACATAAACTTAACGCACGTCGCAGCGTGTGCGTGCAAAACGTAACGCCGAATGCGTAATTAAGGTAATAGCGATGGCGCGCTCACGCAACATCGCCGAGTACATATAATTTATTTATATATAAATACGTATGCGCATAATAGATGTATATATATATATATATATGAAGTATACATACTTCTATATCGTGTGTATACGTGAGTACATATATATATGTATGTGTATATATATATATATTATTTTTTTGCGTGTGGGTGCGCGTAACTTCGACTACGCCTAATTACGATCGCTATGAATAAGGGCATGGTGATACAGTGTGTGAGCTGTTAGTACGTACGCGATATGTTTGGTAACTGATAGAGTGTAAGACTAGTGTTAATGTCAAGTTTTACGTTGTGTGACGCCTAGGGATGCTTTACAGAACGTTCCGCCGGTCCTCGAGGAGGTTCTTTTACATATAAAATAAAAAAAAATGAAAAATAAATAAACTCGAGAGAGAAACCGTCGTCATTCTCAATATAGCACGAGAAGTTCGATGTTCTTTTATACTTCGCAACGTTGTTCGAGGGCGGGATTCGCCTGGGGATTCGTGAATCGAAGATTTGGATCGTGTAGGAGAGAACGACGATGAAACGATGAGAATCGAGATATTTTGCTGCCGGCGATAAATACGTAAGTTCTAGGGCGACGACGTTTGCAATAAATTAATAGGTCGTAGGGAATAAATAAAGAATTGAGGACGAAAAGTCTTGATGCGAGTACTGACTTAAAATGGAGATTGAATAGTATGTTGGCATTGGTTTATCGAGACTTTTCGCCTTCGATTTCTGCATCTAATGCAATAAATATCTAAAAAAAGAGAAACCTATCTTTAACATCGAAATCTCTATAAATTACATCGACAACTATCGTATGTGTATACAAGATATCTCAGAAGCTGCAAGCTTTCTCTTAGACAGGTGAGATAGGTAAAATGTTCCACTGAAATATTGAATAGATAGAGAGAACAGATAAAGATTTTACAGAATTAATTTTTTCTTTTTTTAGTAAAATGTATCTCAATACTATCAAACTTTTAGAAGCGAATTCTCCTTTCCTCTGTTTTAACGATGCAATATCTAAATAAGAATCTCCAATCTTTGCCATTTAAATTATAATCAAGGAAATCTGCTACTTCTGCGATATCCTGTATTTCTTTCATTCAACTACGTCGCACGATAAATAATATTGTTATATGCATATAACACGATCATAAGCTTCGCGTCTGCGTCGCAATTAAACGATTGCCCGGACCGGTCCAAGACACGGCTTTTTAATGACAGTAAGTATACAAGTAGTAATCCGCCATGGTAATATCGCTCCGCGATAATCGTAAACGGGTTCGTTTAATATTTAAATTGCGAAAGAAAACGCGCGCTGTAAAACTGCGAGTGAAACGCAATTTTCAATTCGCACTCGCTCATTGCACATATTCGCGATCCCGGTAACTATCGTCGGGGATAAAAACAGGTCGAATGCGCAATCGGAATCGTCGAGCGATCGCTTATTCCGCACTGACGCGTGTAACACGTATACAGGGTGTCCCATATAGATAAGATACAGACAGTATCGTATTCCTTATCAAAAGATTAGCATTTTTTTTGGCAAATTTCCGAAATTGCATTTTTGCAATTTTCAAGATACAAGCGTATATGTGTCATTTTTTAAATATGTCAATAAATGCGTGAATTGATTGTTTCTTGATTTTCCATGTAAATGAATTTTAATCTATTAAAATTTAATTTTACGATAATAAAAAAAGTATTATTTTATAATACAAAAATTTGAACTAATTTTATTTGACGTAAAGCAGATTTTTTTATAGCTGTAAAGTGTACTTTTCTCTGATGTGAACAAAATAGATGATAACGTTTATATTTAATGTAATTATTAAATTTAATTATAACAGAGTTATACAAAAAAATTTGCACATGAAAAATTAAATACAGAAAGTTTTCGTGCAGAAAGCAAATACACTGTATTACATTGAAAAATGTAAATGAGATATCTCGATACATTTCCGGAAATTTTGTCAAAGAAAAAGGATGCTTATTAATAAGGAATACCGGTATTACCTATTTATATAATTGTTTACCTATATATTAGATACCCTGTATATATATAATTATGCTTTTATATATATACATACGTAACGTTATGTATACTGGCACATATGAAATTGGCGTGCTATTCTCATCGTGGATGAAAGCATGTGGCAGAAACACGGAGAGAACTGCCTATGGTTGAGCCTCTGTTATTCGGTGACAGCGAGAGTTTGTCATCACCGCGAGATGATAATCATCGATCTCGAGTAAACGAACACATTGACGCGCGATGATCCGTGTAAAGATGTACACAAAAATCTTTTTCCATATATAAAAAAATTGCGGGATGGCAACAAATTCCAAGCAGCGCAATTTTGTGAAAAATTTGGAAATGATTGTTTTCGCGCGACAAAATTCCAGATTACTCGAGAAATTTCGATACCTAATGCGCGAATTTGGGAACGTTTTTATTTCTTTATAAGACGCGCAGTGATGAACCATTGACACAGAGATTCGAAAAAATAAATAAATAAAATGTCATTAATTGCTTCGGATCTCTCACGTCGATTGCTGCACAATATTACAGTCTCGACGTTGATCGAATTACAATTGCGACACACCTTGTGTGTCGTAAAATTTTATGCATGTTTAATGAACGAAATAAAATAAATTAATGGCATACCTATCCTACGTATATTAAGCAAAATAAATAATAAATTATCTGAAAAATATTCATTAATATAACAATCATAATAATTATAACGGACCAAAGAATTTATGTGCGAATTATATTTCAATAATTTAAATACAATATATTATTAATCTGGTAAACATTCATATCCATTTATCGTTTACACTTGCGTATCGAATTCGATATTGTTGTCTGTAAATCTATAAATATGTAAATCCGCTCGGATTGCCTGCAGAAGCGGTACTTGAAGAAGTAGAAAAAAATTAAAAAGTATAGAGAGATATTTATCACGGAACAATAAACAAGATAAATACAACAATGTAAAACCTCGTTTGCCGGCGTGTTAAAGTTACACATATCTCCCGGATAGCTCCCGCGTTAGAAATAGGAGACGGTGCTAGGAGGTCAGCCACATGAAACTTCGATGCTTATATCTCGCGCGCAATCAATTTCCATCGATTTTCATCCAACGGCTCGCGCGTAAGCAACAATCGAATATAAATCGAGAGAGACTCTTTTCGTCCCTTTCAAAAATTGTCGCCCCTATACTGAAAGAACGGCGGTTGCCTTTCCGCCGCGGGAGGACGTGCCGTCCTCAGCTACCTCAGCATCCGTTTGCGAAGCTTGATATCCCCTCATGGGAGAACTGCGCGCAAACGTCGGATCCTTAATTAATCTCGATGCTCGCAACCGAATTAGACGCGCGACGCTCGTCCTCCATCGAGGGTGACACGGTGAAGCCGCTCAAGCCGCTCTCGACTAGGCTCATGAGACTGTCTTCCTGATGCGAGGAAACACGCTTCTCCTGGGCACGCGCTCTCTCCTCCTCCAGCTTCTTCTTTTCGGCAGCCAGATCGACGGCGCCGTTCTTCGTGTTCTCGCGAATCAGCTGTTCCAGTTTAGACAGCTGTCGCTCGGTCGCGCTCTCCACGATCTCGTTGTTCTCGACGGGCACGCCGTGCTTGTTTATCGTCGGCTTGTAGGTCTTTACCTTCGAATGGCCCTGAATGATGAGATACATCGGGCCGCGGATTGGTTTGACCGGTTGTTTGTAGTGCGAGAAGATCGGATCGGTGGTCAGACTCGGTGCCATCGTGGTTCGCGGTGGGATGGTCGACGATGGCGCGAACGTCGTCGACATCCTCGTGATCTCTTCGGCGTTCAGAATCTTTACCAGAGGGGATTGGTTGGGCCTTGTGCTCTCCTGACGATGATTCATGGTGGGCGTGTATTCCGCGGTCGACGAAATTGTTGGCGTGAACGGCGGCGAGGTAGTCATCGAGTTGACGACCGTCGCGGATAATCGAGATGGTCGATGGTCGATCGTCATGACCGATGATCGTTCATCAGATCCGGTGGTCTGCGCATTGATGATCGACGGTGGACTGGTGATCGTCACGGGAAACGATTGCGGGGGTTGTTGGTGATCCTGTTCCATGTTCGCCATTATCTCTTTGATAGCTTGTAAACGCGCCATGGGTGGTGACAAGTGGGGCCGTAAGGTGGGATACATGCCCATTAAGTGTAGCATGGGATAATTCATCTGAGGATGTTTTGCCGATGGAAAAGTCGGAGAGTCGGGAAAATTGTAATTATTTAGGCTTACAGGTAAATGGGAAAACGAATGCGGGAATTGATGCGGAGTAAGCTGCGAGGGAGATATTATTCTGTTCGGCACGGAGGAAGCGGATGTTTGATCCTCCGTTGAGATCGTTACCGTGGTTTTCATTGGCTTCACTTGAGACTTTGACGCTTGATAAGTCGTCTTCGTCATCTCGGACGTGGCGGGATTCTCCCAAGCGTGAAGAGTCGTCGCTGATTCCGAAGACGAATTCTTCTCGATGTAGTTCGTCGGCACCACTACGGCGACCGGGTCTTTCTTCGCTTTATGCGTCTCCAGATCTACAATGGTGGACGGCGAATTGGCGACGACAATGTGCATCTTTGACGAGGATTGCATGTCGGTTGCAGTTTCTTCTTCCCGTTCGGTAGAATCTACAGTGGTGGAGACGGTAAAAGTTTGCGCGTCGCTTTCTGACGTCGACGAGGAGGTCGACGAGGACGTCGCTTCGGTGCTGACTTCCTTTTGACCCACGACCACTTCCTCGTTTTCATTGTTACTGCCATCTACAATGATATTCGCGTTTTGACCGACGACCACCTCGTGATTGGACGAGGCCGCGGCGTGATGATCTTCGTAGTGATCTTTCGAATAATCTGTGGTCTGCCACAGGAGCTGATTCACTTCCAAGGGAAGGCCGGGAGTGGAGGACGATGTGGGCTCATTGTTGCCGAGCCATCCGCCCGAGAGAGTCTGCGTTGACTGATAGATTAGATTCGATTTTTCGAAGGATACGGATGGCGCGGTGGTCGCCTCGTATTTAGATTTCGTGCTCTGCGACGCGGGCGGGATGTAAACGCTCTTGATGGTCTCTACCTTGCTAGGTGGTGCCTTGGACGTGGAATACGGGCGTGGCGAGGGCGCGGGAGAGTAGTGTCCGTAATACTGCGCGTCCTGGTGAACGGGACCCTCCTCCGTCTGCGTGTTAAACGACTGCGGTGCGTCCGCGTAGCCGATTATCTTATCTCTGGACGCGCCGACGTTGAAACCGGTAGACGTCTCGATCTTCTGAATCGGTGGCGGCATCATCATAGTATACGGCTTAATCTTCTGGCTGTAATACGGGTTCGGATAGTAATTGGCCGGCGATTGCAATCTATTCTGATTTCTATAGTCGACCAGCAGACCGTTCCGGAAGCTAGTGGTGCGCAGAATCTTGGGTGGTTCGGCGCCGGAACTGCCGGTGAAGTCATTCCTATATATGGTCGGGTCTTGACCGCCGACTCGCGTAAACTTGGGTCCGTCCACAAACTTGAGAAACTGTTCGGGTATCTTCGGGCTGGTCTTCTTCGCGGTTACGCCTAGTACGAGGATGTCGCGCTTGGATGACGGCTCGGTTGTGTGTTGCTGATGCGAATCCAGCCAGTATTGCACCCTGTCGAGAACCGGCGGCACATAATCGAAAGTTGGATTGTTCTTCAGGGGATCGCCGCGTCCCAGGGGCGTCCACTCGTCGTAGTCCATCCTGGGTGAGAATATCCGCGGGCGACTGTCATTCTGAGCGCCTGCGAACAGAAATTTCGGAGGGTCGTCGTGACCGATTAAAAAGCCGGCGTGGTTCATCGTGGGTCAACGACTGCGATCTTCGTTTTACGAACGCGATAGAGAGAGAGTGGACCGGTGCGCATAAACGAGAACTTGATATCTTGAGTAATGAGCCCCGTCGTCGTGATTAATTACTCGTAATTTTATTATAGCCCTCTCTCGCGCTCTCGCTCGATTAATTTATCCTACCGGTATCGCTAACGCCACGATCCTCTAGGTTGCATAAATTTATAGGATGTTAGGTACACATACGAGAGAGAAAGAGAGAGACGTGGCCTGTTCAATCGAATCGATAAATTCGCACGCGCGAATAGCAGTGTCGTATAAATTTACGTGTTTCTAGAATATACGCATATGTCAACGTCCGCACTTTCGTTTAACATCATCGTCAGGCTACACGACGCCGTATATACGTGACGAATTATTTGACATATGAGATCTCGGATATAGATCTCTCATCCCACCTGGAAATATTACAAAAGTACCCGCAATAAAATTTAAAAAACGCGATAGCTTTAAATCTAGTCTAAAATATGTTTCTATCGGAAATTATTTATTTCTTGAAAACGTTCGGCATTAAATAATCAAAGATTAGATCAGTGATATGTTGTCGCGTCAAAATATATTGAAAAATATTTTAAATATCTCTTCTCATGATCATTATTATACACTATATCAAGAAAAAAAGATTCTGAAAAAATGTATTACTACACTGAAAAAAAATGTTAACTTGACTAAACTTTTCAATTAAATGATTATTTTGTTAATTATTATCTTAATGATTTTGTTAGATTTAATATGTTATATTTAATACTTTTATATGTTCAATTAACAAAAATAATATTTAATTGAAAAATTTAGTCAAGTTAAGAATTTGTTTGAGCGTATATCTTCTGCGCGGAGAAAAAGAATTAAATATTTAAATAAATGTATCCACCCGATACAGCAAAAATCTTTCGCCCATATGTTGTGAGACAATCTCACGTTTATTTACGCGATGCGGAAGGAACGCGTGGCCATCCAGGAAGATAACGTTAAGTAGTCCACCCTCCGTACATCACGAGAAGAATCCTGTTACAAAGTTGCAATTCACGTTGTGTCGTATCTGGGGTTCCCAGCAACGTTAACGAACCTACGAACCGCGAGAAACGATGACGGCCCGTCATCTTCCCGCGAAAGAGAGAGTCTCTTAACGAAGTGCCGCGCGAGAAGAAGCGACCTCTCTTCGAGAAGTCGAAGGGAAACGTCATACGGGGCGTCATCCCGCGTATTCGAGTGTTGACATGGGCATCGCGTATTAAAGCGAGGTATGTATCGCTCGATCGAGTCGGTAAAGGATATAACGATCGGTTATCGTCGAGCATGACTGCTATCTTTAACGGCCGACTCGTGAAGCGAACGGCACCGATTGGCTGCCTCCCGTCGCGATTTATGAGAATATAACGCGGTAAAGAGCGGGAGAACGACGAGGATAATTCTCGGCAAGGTCTCCCGCGAGCTTTCCAGCGAATCGATTTTTCCAAAACTGACTCTTCCAACAGTGTCGTCTCCAAAAACCCGCGATCGTCTCCCGCGGAGGCGGTAACGTAAATACGCGCGCGCATAAGAGAGTGGATTGAGAGTCGGGAAAGAATAATGACGAGGTTTACATTTAATTCTCGGTCGAGGCTTAACGTCGTCCTGTAATTGGCCACCAAGACATCGCTGTCACGGACGTTCCTCGCGTATAAAGTTTCACGGGATGGACAACCGAGAACGATGAGGTGAGCGACGGATCGCCGCCACTTATCGCCCAATATCTCACGAGAAAACGTCCCGATAATGGCAAGTCGGCGTTTTCTCTTCGGTGTTATCAAGGCGATCGACGCGGTTTCTATCTCTAAACGGTAAGCGCCGCTGGACGTCGGGCATTTGAAGACCGCAAGTGCTGGCTGCATTCGCGTTCCACGGAATCTGACGGAAGTGCCACTGACATCTCGAGTGTCGGGGAGAAATCTCACCACGCGTCGTGATCGAGGCGAAACACGTTCATTGCTCGACGATCCTTGAAACGGCAAGGAATATGTTGGGTTTCAATAAACGCACAATGTGTCAAAACTTCATCGCGAGAGTCGATCTATGAAACGAAATTAATAACGCACTTAGGAATTCGCGTATTTCTATATACATAAATTCATAAGTTTCCACACGAATAGCAGAATGATGTAAACGAGAGATTCTAGAAATACGTTTCAATCTTGCTTGACTTTGCGCGGCTGCAAAGTAGTGTATGAGTTTCAGTTTCAGTAATAAGAAATAATTATGAAGACGGGAGAAAAAATGCAACGATCAGTGTGACACCTCTTCGTTAGCCGCAACACATTAACGCTCGTCGCGCGTCGTTTTCGCGCGTTGGCTCATTACGACATACAAATGAACGAACGTCACGTCGCGTCGTCAGGATGAAAATACGAGATGCTGGACTGGCTGTCGGAATATCCCGCGACAGCCGGCAGACGCCGGTATTCCTTCTCTTTCTCTCTCTCTCTCTCGAGTCATATCGCATAAATACACGTGTCATGCTTCGCGAATATACATGGGATGGCTAGGAGCTCCTCTTCTCGCGCTCGTGCGCAACGCTCTTCGTCTTTCTCTTTCTCTCTTCGCGGCGTTTATTATACGGGGCTGCATGCAAAATGCGACGGTCGCATTCGCGCGCGACCTCCGCAGTTTTGCGCGGGCATATTTCAAACCGGAGGACAGGATGACGCCTAAGTAATTTCTCGCGGAATATTATGCGCTAGGTGGATTTCATTGGAATAGCCCCGCACAGAGAGCGACTCAAATTCCTACCATTTGCAAATTTCATTTCAATTATAGTATACGCTGTGTAAACGCGAATGTTGTCTCTGTCTCTCTCTCTTTCTCCCCTTTCAATATTTCTTCTATATTAAATTTTTCTTTTTCTCAAACGAAAAATTTAATTAAAAAATCAGGTATGAAAAGGATTGAAGCCAAGCGCAGATATTAAAGGCAACATAAAAACAAACTTGTTTTTAAATTTTTCTTTAATTATTTTCAACCTTCGGTCCTTTCTGTTAAGTCGATCCGCTAAAGATGTAAGAAAGGACTGAAATATTTAAAATAATTAGACAAGAATTTGAAAACAAGTTTGTTGCGTCTAATATCTGCGTTTGATTCTTATTAATCCTTTTCATATCTGATTTCGCATTTCTATGTCAGAGCCTTTTCAATTTATCATTACAAATTTAATTTAGAAATCGATATTTTTTTCGCTTAAAACTCGAAACTTTCACATCAACAAAAGGCGACAATAATATTCAGGAATGTTGAAAAATATCTAGATATCACAGAGTGTCAAAGCACTCGAAATATCTTTGGAATAACTATGTAAAGTGCGAACAAATACACTTTACAGTATATTTGAAATTCAGGTGAAACCTCATAGCTGCCCCTCGGCAATTTTTGCAAAATTTCCGAGGCTCTCTCGCGCGAATCTGAACGTCGCATTGAAAAAAACGTCCTCGAGGTTTTAACCGCGTTCTAAACGTAGCGTGGCAAGCTATTTTCGAGAGAAATGCGCTGCTCGGTTGACAACCGAGCAAAGATTCATTAAGGTTAAGAGCCTCGTGGCGGCAGTAATGGACTCACGGCAAGTTCTCCTCCCGGATTTATCGTCGCGCGCCCGCAAAACACTATTGCCCACCAAAAACGCACGCATCTCTCGACGCGCCGTGAATCATAGAAATGAATATTTATCTTGCGCCCATATATTTTCACCGAAATACAGTTGTCCCCGTTTATTTCCGCCCGTTATCGAGCGATATTCGCGAGCGAGTCCTCTCCTCCATCAAGAGAACTTCAGGATCCCTTTAATCATCGTGAGAGCACGCATTGTCGCGCGTCTTAAAATTCCCGACGAAAAGAACGAAGGCATTCGACGTTACTTTGGGAAGCTACTACGAGGGCTCGCTTTTACGAGAGAGCACCGAATAATATAGAGATGGCGTACAAAATTGAACGCGCAGAAAGAAAAACTCAGCGACACGAGATGCGGACGATAAAAGCGCGTTGTTTTTCTGTTAGTTTTTTTTTATTATTATTATTATACGTCGAGCTTTGCGTGTCATTGTTTGAAAATGAAGCAAGACATGTGTACGGGTGAAATTGAAGAAACGCGTATTCTCTCTGTCAGTTTCTCGATTGAGATTGACGTGAATGCGAGAGCGAGCCGGGGCGAGAGATAAAATGCGGCGATTGTTACCAGAGCTGCTCCGTTTCTTTCTATTATGCAAATGATCATCCCGCTTTCGAGATGACGTACTGCGAATATAACAAAGCAACGTCCGATAATGTATTATCGTGAATCGAGAGAAGTTTGAAATTTCATGAGATGGTATCAATTTCATTATCATTTATTACGTGAAACGATGGAAAATCTACAGTTTTCCAGAAAGCTGATGGAATAAATAACAATAACTAGATATTTACGTAACGCGCTTAAAAGTTTTTTTATGTAAAATTAATTAAGAGTGGAAGAGTAGACTTACATATTTATATTTTATATTATTAACTCTCTTTCCATCTTCTTTCTCTCTCCGTAATTATATATAATCTCGCAACTTCTAAGAACAATGCGGAAACACGAAACGGTGGAATCTCTCGGAACAAAACGTGAGAAGCATAACATAGTTGCAATGTAAATGCATAAAGCCACCGAAAGCGTTATTACGTTTTGGTGAGCGCGTGTGCGTGCGTTTATGTCGTGTGGTCGCTCGTACGATTATTTTCCCGCTCGTTTGTACGCATTACGCTTATGCGACATATATTCCCGCGTTTCTGTGCCGCTTTTATATAGCCGAGAAGCGGTACAATGCCGAATGAAATCGAGCGTATAAAATGCACGGCCGTATCTTCTCCCTTTTAATTTCCCCTCCCTCGTTCTCTTTACATATATACCTCCCTTTTACCGACAACAAAATTTACGTTTGTCGCGATATCGTAACGGACTTTTCGATTGCAGTTATCGAAGCTTTTAACAAAAATTACGACATTTTCCGCCGAAAAATCAACGATTTTAATCAAGTATTTTTATGGATGAAACGAGGAATGTACAAATTTTCTCTCTCTCTTTCTCTTTTTACAAGAGTGCAGTTATATCAATTATCGTACAATGGTTTATTTCAATTTTTCAACTGGTTATCAGAGTAACGTTTATGCAATTTTTCGTTTTATCATCAATTTTGTTCGTCTACGCCGCCTGCTTTCACATGTTATATCTGATTTGTCCAAAAAATTCGAATATAACATTTTTCCCATATATACATATTTCCCAGTCAAATATGTTGCTTGTTTGTTTCACAATAAATAAATAAATAAATAAATAAAGCGCGATCAGAGAATGAAGCTTCGCGGATTTTTCTCGCACCGGGTCAACGCGGATGTGGCGAGGATGCAAAACGGAGAATGTCGTCGACGAGGCTGCTGTTCCCGCATAGTCGCATTCGACGCAGAAGTGCAAAGGTTGTTCAGTAGGTGAGAGGGAGGGCAGGAGGGTGAGGAAGAACGTTAAATGCAAAGTTGGCCATTGTGAACGCGGGCGATAAAAGCGCGCGACGCGCTTATTTTCCCGTACTTTTGTGTCACAGACATCGTCGTCGTCGTCGTCGTCGTCGTCGTCGTTTGAAAGTAGAACAACGACGCGCAACGAAGGACGACGGAATCCGCTAGCGCACGCGTTATCCCGACGTTGGCGCGAATTAAAAATTGCAATTTACGTTATTTACGGAGGACGCATAACGTGTCTCGCACGGGAGAACTTGTGATCGCATTTGTGGACGACGTCGCCATTTTCTGACGACCCCGCAACATTCTTCTCCCTAATTTGATTACGTTTCGCTCCCCGTATCCTTGAGAAAGTTTTCAAGTTGAAACGTTGAGATCTTAACATCTGTGAAATAAAAAGGATATAAATCTGAAACTTTATGTCTCCCGAAGAAGCTCGCAAAGGTCCAGAGGGAGAGAAAGAGAGTCACGCACTTCGAAATTAATTTAATTAATTAATAAAGATAAATCTCTTACTAAATTGAAATTTATGGAATAACAAATAAATCAGAGAGGATAACAAAGAGAAAATAAAATGATAAATTATTGATCTTTAGAATATATTTCAACAAATTTTCTTTGACTTTTTATTTAAAAAAAAAATAGCGCATTCATATATATTTGTAGCGACTTTTATTGCAACTTGGATTTATTACGTTAAGTGTCAATGATCGTGCTTGAAAATTCGATGAAAAATCATGAATTTTTATCCCATCTTGCCTATATTTTTTCGCTTTTTACGTACAGATTTTTGACGACAGATTAAACGAAAAGATTATTGAAGCATCGATTTAAACGCACCGTGCGAACACGTGAATTAATCCAAGACGTGCATGCGTGCGTATCGTCGACGCGGAGTGTCTTTTAGCACCGAGTAGAATGACCTACTGACCCGCCCCACTGATACTCGCGCGATGACGTACACACGCAATGCACACGCATAGCGCGCCGTTAATTTTTATCAAGATTAATGCCGAGGGATTGTTAGGAAGACAGCTTATTAGGAAGCGAGAGTGAACGGATGTGCCGAACTTTTAATGCATCACATTTCATCAATCACTCGTATTTCGTATACTGATGATAAATCGATAAAGTTAATGTACACGAATTTATAAAGAAAGATAAATTAAATAGAATTCCGTCACAATATATAATAAGTTTCCTCTTATACATTCGTCGATCGGTTCCCTATTTTACCGCAATGCGTCAAGAATGGATAAGAATCGAACGGTCATCCTATCGTGCAAAGTAGTCGAGGAAGAATAAAAAGTATTTGAATCGAAGAATTCTTTCCACGGAGATGGACGGCGAGATATTCCTCTCCTCTAGCTCAAACCTATCGATATATATATTATTTTCCGGGAAAAGCTCGAGAAGTGGCCAATTGAACCAGATATGTGTATCTCCAATTAACCGCTTATCGAGTCGCGACCTCGATGGTGCTGAGTCTCGTTGCTGCGAGATCCAATTTCCGATCCAAAAAGTAGGAAATCGGATTCCCAAACGCAACGTTGGGTGCAATAGCGGCGTCATCGCGACGCGACGCGAAGTCGCCCTCCTCGTCGTGCCAGCTCGATTCCTTTTTCCCGCAGCTTCCGTACCCGCAGTACGACGATCGAAGTACCCGCAGAGCTAGTCGCGGTGCATTCCAAACGCGATCCAATAAATATAAAGCTCGTCGTGCAACATAATACAAATTCATAATAAATAACACAAATTCAGGTATAAAAATGGCTAGTACGAGAAAAAGATATATAAAAATTATTTTTGAATTTCTCTCTACTTATTTTGAGCGATTCGGTCTTTTCTTTTGGATCCTCCGCAATTTTTTTTTATTTATTGATATGCTGAGAATATAGAAATAGTCCAAAGAAATGACTGAAACGTTCAAAATAAGTATAGAGGAATTTAAAAATAATTTTTATCTGAATTTTTATATTTATATATCAGAATCTTTTTGATTTGTAATAATGATAATAACGAAAAAAATACAGAAACGAGGAAGAGGCAATTGCGATTACACGATGCATAATGAATATGAAAATAATTAATTGTGTGTGAAAATCGCGTAATAATATATACTACTATCAAAAATTTGCACGTTAATTTTTGCAAAAACCTGATAATTGTAAGTTTTTAATATGATAATGCTTTCTTTGACAAATAGAACAATTGTTTGAATAATTGCACTTGAGACATGTTGTAAATGTAAAGGTAAAAGTTTACTTTCTGCAATATTTTTTTCATCACGCTCGAAAAAGTTTAATTCGAAACAGGATGTTGAAATAACGCGATACGCGTCTTCCGAAGATTTTCTTTTGCATTGCTATCTACTTGAGACGGAATGATAAATCTTTCAGCGCGCGCGAGACGATTCGAATTCGTACGAATGAATTTTTCACGAGATCTTACAAAAATAATGTCGGATAGCTATTGCTACGACGTCGGACACATGCGGATTTGCCGTTTCTTCGAGCCGTAATCCGCTCGAGGAAAGATATTTCGCAGGACACGCGGTATTAGTAACGTCGTGTATAAAACAGGAAGACCGGATCGAAACACTCACCGGTTTTATTCTCGAAGGAGGACGGTACGCTCTGGCAGGACGAGCAGCACAAAAGTCCCGCCAGCAGCAGCCACCTGGACAGCTCGGTCGATCTCTTCGACATCGTCTGAAACAGAGAAGCGAATTCAATTTTAACCGCCGGGATAATATCACACTTTCTGATCCGCTCGACGTGCAATTTGAGGCAGAGACCTAATCTACGTCTTGCTTATAATTTATAATAATAATGGGGATTATCGTGATGGAATAAGGATACTACATAGAGATCTTATCGTCGCGAGAGATACTTATTTTATATTTTTTTCATCGGTTATTTATTTCTAATACATATTAACTGTACAAGGATATTGCAGAGATATTATATACGTCCGTTGAATTGAGATCTTGATCGATTTTTTAATTTAACGCGTCGATAGAATAGAGGAAAGCGTTACACTTTTTCTTGGAGAAAAAAAATAAATCTTATGCTTGGTATTGTTGCGAAAAACGCATAAACGTTTTTCGGAGAGGTTTATTTATACGAAATATACACTGTATATTCGCGAACGTAAAGTATCGGTCTCATCATCGTACGAAGTTGCAGCGCAGAAACGTAATTAATTCATCTAATTGGATATTCATAAGGCCATCAATGTATGCAGAGGGAGAGGGCCAGGATAATGCTCGGTATTAATTACAATAGTGTAAATACGCGGAACAATATCTGCTCGATAGCGCGGAGTAAAACCCGTGGTATTCTCCTATATATGGTCAAACATAATACTAATGGGATAAAATATTAGATTACTAAGAGTAAAATGATGAATAATCATCTATCTGCTGTCCTTCTCCCCACGGGATAAACTCAATGGCAGAAAATATATTTTAGTCGAGTGTTATTTTTATTAATTTTAGAAAATGTACTGTTTTTACAGTTTATCTGTATTTTCTACTTAACGTTTTCATCTTACGTGAATATAGATTTAGAGACGTATTCAGACGAAAATCTTTGATGTCTTTATGTCGGAAATGTTTTCAAGCTTCTTGCACATCACTATAAGTCCTTACCGAAGAATTGTGCCAAAGAGCACTATCAACGCTGCCAAGATTCTGTACCTAGTTTTCACAATTTATCTCGTTTCGCCTACGTCAGCGATAATTTATATAATACGCTCTCGCGCATTATAAATTTTTTCCACGTATAACAGGTCTATACATATACTATTTATTTAACATTATTCCATTTTAAACAATAGTTTTCCCGCGTTATTTAATAATTATGCAGTACATGTAGAGGAACGTATGTGTGAGGGAAAAAATTTTATTTCGACGCAGAGAGACATCAATATATGTCGGACGGATTAAATAATTTGTATGATCCCGGGGATCTGCAAGAGCGCCATGAATACGCGATTAAGCGTGGCAGACGAACAGGTACGGTTTACGGTACTTTGACGAAACGTAAAACCAAACGGAGGTGTACTCGACGTGACTACTACATTTCTCGACAAACCGGCGAAACTTTAGCCGGCCGTTGGCGTAATATACGAGCGAGACACCGATGTGTCTTTTACGATGTCGACGAGGGAAGGGTGCTCGATGTCTTGTAAAGTGAGTCGTAAAGACCGTTGTTAACTGATCTCCCTAAGGGGCTACCGTTTTGGCAAGAGGGAGAGAAAAAGAGAGAGAGAGAGAGACGGATCGTGACCTGCCCCAATCGACCGACAGAGTCGTCAAAATTGCGTTCCCACGCGAACAGATACGTGCAGTCCCTCCCGAATCGGTGAACCCACCCAGGGGAAACCTCTCTCCGACTGACAACAAAGTTTGGCACGAATGAGAGCTGACGAGGAAGACGCGCGACAGCGTCAAAAATTCACTTTCAAGCGTTCCTGTCGACGCGCTACTTCGACAATACCTAGCTGTGCACATTTCATAAATAATAGATATAAAAATATTCGATAGCTGTGCGAACAACTCTGGAGAGTGCCAGATTTCACATTTCAACTTCCAATTTTCGTAGAAATCAAAGTTATACGTTTAAATAAATAAATCGCGATATTTAGTCTCACGCAAACTAAAAAGTGATCGTGCGATCGCGCGATCGAGGACAGTTCCCAGGGGCTTAGACGCCCCGTCGATCGACGAGAGAACTCGATCGTACCTGTTAACGATCACGTCGAGAAAGTCTTTGAAGAAGGGGCCCGACGCGAGTGGCTGGGTCACTGTCACTAACCGCGAAAATTACATTCGCGTACAGACAGAGAGGATTTGCGACTTCAAGCGGCAGAGGCAAGAGGAAGAGAAAGAGAGAGAGAGAGTTCGTTTGTCGAAATTTTTCAAAGACCCCGTAGCACTCAAAGGAAATATAATATCGGTTGAAAATGACGTATAGCTCTTCGCACACACGACAGTTTAGATATTCCGCACGTGAATTACACGCGTAAATACAGAGGCGTGTTTAGCAACACGGCGTTCATCGAAGGTTCGCATACTAATAGGTTAATAAGCGGCTATCTTTAGCTCGAAGAGACATCGAAGACCTGTCGGGAGGTCATAATCCAGGAGTAATGCACTCGCGCGCGCACAACGGGGAAAGTAGGATATCCTGTGACAGCATTTTGTAGTCTTCGCAAAACTGATCGGTCTGTTCCGTGCCACCATGATCATTGATTTCCGTTTTTCAAAACCAATCTCTTTCAAAAAAAAATTACACGCGAAACTTATATATAAATCCGTTTATCCTAAAATTTCAAATCCGCGATATTGTGCGTGCAATATATTGATATAGTTCGTTCCAGATTTTCAATGAAAAATGCCTTAGAAATATCAGCAAAAAATTGTGCAGTCGATGTCAGCAGATAAGACATTTGAAGAAAAAAATTCGTTAATAATTATAAGATATAATACTCTGAAAATATCATCTCGCGATCATCTCGAACGTTACGATTCCGTTTCGATTTTACAGACCGGTTTTTCAACAAGTTCAAGAAACGTACATTTGAAACATATATTTAACGCATATTCGAAAGAGCCGATCTAAAAATTCACTCGCTGACAGTTAATTACACAGGCCAACCGAGTTTGACACCGCGTTTGCATATACATATATACGCTTGAGATGCAGTACGAAATAAACATTAATAGAGAAGACGAGAATAATTTTATGCCTACTCATTAATTGGTTTGTTAAATCGATACTACTGATTCTCTATGCGTCCGGAATGGGCTAAATATCTCGAACGTTATCGGTAAATTTGCGTTTGACACGACGATACTTTCACCTGCGTCAGGTGCAAATGAATCGGCTCGCTTTCGAGACTCATCAACGAATCATTTCCGATCATTGACGCAGCATGTGACGCACGTTCTTGACTCTATAAATAAGCATTCGTTTAATACAGACAACTAAGAATCAGATTTATTTAATATGAAATTTTTGGGGTTCTCAAGAGTTAATTGTTCTAATCAAGGTTGAATTTTTTCACATAGAGAAACTTGACCACGATAAAAGGTTTATATATGCAGGACGAAAGCTTACTGAAAGTTCTTTCGCCGCATTTGCACATGGAAACGCGGTATAACAAGACACACGTGATAACGGTAGACGCTGCTTCAGGCATCGATCTCCTCTCTTGAACGAGATTCCCAGAAAGAAGGGGCGAGAGAGAGAGAGAAGAGAGAAAAGAAAAAAAGAGACAGGAACACACGAGTGAATGGGCAAAGGGGACCGCTTTATGCGAAGCCGCCTTTAGAATCAGTGACATCCGACCTTCAAGATCGAATCGAAATCACGATGGCCTTAGGCTTTCTCGATCGTGACGACAAAACGTAAAAGAAAAAATTCTGTGATTTCGAATAAAAATTAGAATTTGAAGTCACGGAGAGAAGTTTCGATATACTATATATAATAGGGGTTTTATGATAATTTCATCTATCTAAACATTGATCACAGAGATCGTAAAGTATACATTAAAAAAAAGATTAGCGTCTAGAAACTTTTTCGGGAACAGAACTATTCTTTGATAAATGCTCGAAATTCTAAATTATGTTAATGGTGTACGACGACAATTAGCTATGGCTTACGATAGTGTAACATAAATATGGATTACTGTACCTGCTTTACGTTTCTAGTCATGAAGAGAATACTAATACTAATTTATTCAAATAAACCCCTAAATGTTTCTACCTTTAGTAACGAATCAACACATTTATCTATGTAATTCCTCGGCCCTCTCTCTCCCTCTTTCTTCTTTTTTCTTTCTTATTTATTATTTAGACACAATTATAGGCATTCATGTAATAAAAAATGACCAAATTCATTATAATATATATTTACGTGTATCTGTGATGTAACAATAATCACGTGAAGTAATCACATGACATCTAATAAAGGCACAAGTGTGTGCATACGTCAAATAATTTGCGGCTATAACCATTAATTAATAATTAATGTACATTTTTCTGTTTATATTATACAAGAGAGTCTGATAGGAGAAAATCAAAGAACAATACGGATTTCTGGCGATTGTGTAGTTAATGCTAATCGACCAATTCGTTTCGCGGCGATAAGATATAAATATATTAGAAAAAAAAACTAGCCTGAGGAAATTCGATATAGAGTAATTATCGAAAAACGATAATCGGCTTTGATTGCTGCGCGCTCCTCGATATATCTATTAAATGGAATTTAATTTACTCGTCTATCTAAAACATTTTATCTCATATATAGTTTTTGTCTACAGCCGAGAAAAAAGTAACTAAAAATAATCTGACTATAAATCTTAACTAACCTTCGAGTAAATTCGTCGACAATCGGACATGTTCTATTTTGCGCGCAATTATCGATGATTATTCGAACAGATGGTTTCCGGTCCTCGGGGTTCAACTTTGCTTCTTCCACGTTTGAAACGTTGATATTTTAAGAAATGCCACGATTCTCTCTTTCCTCTTTGAACTGATTAAGCATCCGCCATCCAAGAAATCCGTACTGAATTCCAAGCACGGATGGAATAGTTTTCGACTCCCAAATTCCATAATACATATCTCGTATCCTTGCGGAATCGCGAGTGAAAATTCAGTCTGCGAGCGTCTCATTTTTCACTTCATCCGCCAAATACGGTTCTT